ACAAGAAAGCATAGCACCAAAGGTTCATGAAACATATTAAAATAATTTTCTTTGTTCTTACTATTTAATTCAATATATAATCAATAAATTGTTGACATCATATATTTATACAAAATTTACCATTAATGACAGTTCTCCTTTTAATGTGTTTAAATGTTTTACATCTCGAGTGTTCATACCAAATAACATCTGGAGTGTTAGTACCAATCGTTTATTAAGGTATGCTTTTTTCACAGTTCAGAACTCTTCACTTATCAGGAGAGAAGATGTGCAAGAGGATGAATAGCTCAATTGATAGAGTCACTGAACCATAGGTATTTGGCACGTTGATTGGTCACTACCCGCCCAACCCCCCTCACCCACTCTACAACCCTCCTACCTCTCAAAACCTTGTAAACTGCTGTAATTTCCATTTGAACATGTTTTAATATTTGGTATTTGCTTTTAATTCAATTACCTTCATTTCCCACAAAAAGTAAAAAATTGTTATATATATATTTAGTAAAGGTATGCAACTCGCAGCTCATTTTTCAGCACTCATCTTAATATGAACTCCAAAACTCCAACATTTTTTCACCAATTTTCAATATCTTGGTACCAAAAGGTAGGGAATTGATTACTCTTAAAGAAAATAAAGCTGCCATTACAATCATTTCAAGTTATAAGAAGATATGTAATCTCGAAAAAATAGGGAAAATAAGAATGCCTAAAGAAAGCCCAACACGGCAAAATTGAAAATGTTGCAGGCTCGGTTTGACTGAGCCTTTTCATGGACAGTAATGGAAAGTTCAAGGTAACGTCCACGCCCCCTAGCACCGGCCTTAAGCAGAATTCAACATTTAACATGAACTGGTACAATTTTGAAACATCCGCAGATGTGTTCATATGGCGGTTATCATGGAACCTTCAATGTGACACTTCCGTGTCATTCCATGAAAAGCGGCATATGGTCCCCAAGTAAAAAATGCGTGTGCCCTAAACGAGAAAACAATGGGCGAAACTAAATAGAATGGAATTTAGAATGGGGATCAGAGGTTATGAAGCCTGCATGTCACAGGTAAGACGTCAAAGACAAATTGAAAAAGCAGGCCACATATTCTAAGGGTGATTCAACAGTATTCAAGTGAGGAATACTGGAACTACCCAACAGGAAAATAGCCAAATAGAAAAAACTAAATTACCACAAGCACAACAATAATGTCATGCTGAACGATCTTTAAGGATCGGTAATAACTGTTCAATCAAAACATCATATAAAATTATAACAAACTGTTTTTCCGATTTGCCAAATTTTCCATCCAAAATGAAAGTACACATGTATAAATGGATGCATTCGTATGGAGTATTTTCATTGGTCGTGTGAAAACTTTAGACCAATGAAAATACTCCGTACAAAAAAATAAAGAGGAGAGTCCTCTGCAGAACCATTACTTGCATTACGATTTGGAATCTGACATATCGAAAAAAAAGTTTGTTATAGTTTTATATGATGTTTTGATTGAACAGTTATTACAGTTATTGTAGGAGCAGTAGTCCAGTGGTAGGACGCGCGCTTAGGGATCGAGAGGTCCCGGGTTCGAACCCCACCAGGGGTACTGCTAATTTCCTTGAGCAAGAAATTTACCTGCGATTGCTTCACTTCACCCAGGTGTAAATGGGTACCTGCGAGGGTGGTATAATTCCGTTGCGCCAAAGTGTCGGCTGCACTAAGCGGAGTTAAAAGACTCCCCAGGGAGATTGATAGATAGATACCAGTAGCCCGATGACCAGGGGTAATAGCTGTAAAGTCGGTGAACGTGCATAAGCATGAAACTTAGACTATAAAATGCCATTACTTTATTACAAAAAATAATATAAATTGATCATATTTATATGAGCAATACAAAAAAATATTCATTCATTTTGAATAAACTGCCGTTTAGTCGGGTAATTTTTACAAAAACCCAGCTGTCAGGTCTCTGTCGACTTACACTTGCAGTGACTTCGAGATTACATATCTTCTTATAATTTGAAATGAATGAAATGACAGCTTTATTTCCTTTAAGAGTAATCAATTCCCTACCGTTTGGTACCAAGATTTTGAAAAATAGTGAAAAAATGTTGAAGTGATCGAGTTCATATTAAGATGAGTGCTGAAAAATGAGCGGCGAGTTGCATCAATTATTTATTTTTTGTGGGAAATGAGGGAAGTTGAATTAAAAGCATATACCAAATATTAAAACATGTTTCAAATGAAAAATACAGCAGTTTACATGGTTTTGAGAGGTAGGAGGGTTGTAGAGTGGGTGAGGGGGGCCCGGGGGTAGTGACCAATCAACGTGCCGAACACCCATGCACTGAAAGGTATTCAGAGAGTCAAAAGTTCACGTCCTGGTCAGACTGCACATTTTCTCACCCTTTGACATATTGAATTCAAAATTTGAACTTTTAAATCTTGCATTTCCTTATTACAGACTGTCAGTGACATATTTTCACAAAATGGTGAAAATTTATTATACTTAGTTCACAGTACTTAACGCTTTGAAACAGGAAAGAAAACAACAAATGAAACTTATGGTACAAAAACTGTCATAAGCTATAACATTAAGGTATTTTCCGCTGTATGACACAAGGAAACAACAATATATTCAGCCAAAGTCAGTTTTAATGGACCAAACGTAGACCATATGTCGGCCATTTTGAAAATAATATGTCATCATTTAAATCACGGTAATGGTGTTACATTTCAGTTTTTTAATGTTTCAGTTAACATTTCTACATGTTATTTTGCTTAATTTTAAATATTAAAACTATCTTTACTTTGTATTTTAAAATTTATTTTTTTAACAAACAAGAACATTTAGAAAATGATGATTGTTTCAGACATACGCACAAATTTAATGGACTATTGTTGCTTTTTGCAGAAATTTGTAAAATGTTGTTCTGTTTTACATTAAAATCTAGAGATTTAAAATATTTTGCACAAAAATTTCGTTGTTTAGATGTTAGAATAAAATAATTTATGTCAATTCTGACCAATTTTAAAGCTGGTCACATAAAAATATGCCATTACCGTGAAATAAGTGATGACGTGTAATTAGTGATGTTGAGTATAGCATGCACAATTCACGAATTCGAAAACCTAGCTAAACGCCGTATTCCGGTACCTTCTGTACATAGCTCTGGGGAATTCACCTAATGGAGTGTAATAGCGAACTCGATGTTTTCGGCCTTTTTTTAAAATTAAATTGAAATAAAACAATTATTTCTTTATTAAAATTGTCACGGGTCGTTTTATTTATTATGTTAATTGTTCATTTTGCCGTGCACTGTTCGTCATTTAGTCGCGGGAAAAGTATTCTTAATGTCCGCGCATGCGTCGATCATCGTTTGTCTCCGTGGCGTCTGTTATCGTCTGCTATTGTATTGTATCGGATAGTTCCGTAACGTACGCTTATGAGCGGAAATTCACGGAAACGGCCGAAACAATTCAACTATGTCTGTTTCTCGTGCAATTTTGTGAACTGTTTTTGAATGTCCAATCGTTTTGTACGTTGTATGAAAGAGTTTTGAGAGAAAGTTTTAGATTGGTTTTTAACATTTCCTTTCTTCCAAATTCCCGTGAACTTTCCTTCTTCACTTCACTTCGTCTTTATTCTCTTACGAGTTAAGATACATTGTATAGAGCTACTATTCTACTTAGTACATAAATTCTTTAAGTTTATTTAAAAGAATTTTTGGAAATAATTTATTATTAAGTTATTTATTGAGACGCTGTGGTAAGATTATTTTCATTTGATTCATTTACTTGAAATAATTCTTATTTACATCGTTCAATTGTTGTATTGTTGTATTTTATGTATGTTTTGATTAACTTGTATTATAATCATGTATTTATGTTTTTAGGCTTTATCTTCATATTAAATATTAAATTGACGAACCTACGCCAGGAGTTGATTATTAATTCTACCCTGTGACAAAATAATAATTAAAATTTAAATATCATTGTATGAATAATTCCATACAAAAAATAAAGTAAATACACAAGTTTACGCAGAAAATAACATTATTTATTACGGAAGATTCCACTACGTCTATTTAAATTTTATTGATTTTCATAATAAACAATTTATTTTTTGAAAAATTTGCAATAGATATTATTAAAGGAACATTGATCATTTTCAAATACATCAAGTTTTTCCACCTAAAACGGTAAAATAAAGATAGAAAAACAGAAATATCATGTTAGAGTGTTATGTACTTTATTATGTGTAATTCCCCAGAGCTAAATCCGTAACGTACCGGAAAACAGAGTTTAGCTAGGTTTTCGAAAAGGTCAATAGTCCTATAACATAAGACGTTTCCGTTAGTACTATGTACACTCCAACGTCTTATCGACTTCTTCATAAGTTCCTTTAGCAAAACGCGCCCACATGTATACAGGTAATATGGCAGAATGTATATAGCGGTGAAAGTGGTATAAATTGTATTGGATTGAATTTATTTACATTTGAATGTGAGTCATTTTTTTTTTTTTTGCTGCACATTAATGCAAAAATGTTTAAATTTACTGTCTGCATATCTTTTGACTCAAAATATTGTTTTTGTAGTAAATTACGACGGTTTATATAGCGCTTCAAAATCCCTGGTTTTGCAAAAGGAACTTATGAAGAAGTCGATAAGACGTTGGAGACGTAGTACTAACAGAAACGTCTTATGTTATAGGACTACATGCACAAGATAGATTTTTTTATTCATTTGACCTTACATACTGGTTTAATTTCTTTGTCCAAGTTTAAACTAATCAGGACATTGGATAACCTGGTTAACATCGAAATAGAAGTACATTGTGTCAACAAAACTGTTCAAATAAAAGCAACTTCAAAATCAAAACAACATGATTCATTGTCACCTGATCATCCTCGAAATTCATCATTTCATGCCAAGTTACTGTCATAAATCGCCGTCATAGATAAATTAATTTCATAAATTAAAAGATGATGTTACAAAGTTATACTTACCAAACGGCAAAATCAACGAAAACAAAAGAAGCCGCATGACAAAACAAGTTTCAGTTTTTACTAAATTGTTTGTGTAGTCTTCCTTCGAAAATCATGTGATTATATCACGTGACCGTTTATAATCTAGAAACTCAAAGTGATAAAACTACCAACACGATTCATCACTCAACTACCAAAAAGATCATTTATTTGATAAATTGCAGAAAATCTATAAAAAGAGGGAAGCGTCGGTGGGTTTATCATTATTACATGTAAGTAATGCAAATATATGTCTCGAATTTTGATTGGCTTAAAATTTTTGTACAATGTGACGTTCATGCCAAGAAGATTGTACAGGTACATTTGTTTTCTTGTGAAACAAAATATTTATTACATGCTTTTCTGTGGTTTATAGATATATCAGTGATATAAAATTGGTTATTTCACTGTTTGAAACAGTGAAATTACCACTTTGATAATTTCACTGTTTTGAATTTAAGCCCCTTACGTTGTTTCAGTGAAATACCAGCGTGCACAGTACTGGGTACCAACTTAATGACGTGACGTCGTAAATGACGTCACGTTGTATTATTATTTGCCGCGCTTTTCATTTAGTATTAGGTTTAATGTCTTTTTAAAACGTTTCTTTGTATGTAATAAAAAGAAAATTTGTTTAGTTTAGTGTAAGATCGAAATATATTTCACCTTGTGAACACCAAAAGTTCAAATACCTTTTGGTGCTCACTCGATGAAATATTATAAGAATCTTACACCGGCTGCCGGTACAGACCGGAATATCTAGCTCGAGGGTAACTGTTTACAGCGGTAACGAGGCTCTGCCGAGTTTCCGCTAAACAGTTACCCGAGAGCTAGATATTCCCGTCTGTACCAATTGCCGGTGTTTGATTCTTTTTCTTGCATATTACATGTCAATTATTTTCGGAACAGAAATTATGAAAACTGATATTCTCATTACGCACTTTTTTTCTTATAGTAGCGTATGAACATACAACTTCATTCATAACGGAAAAATGACGTCATCATAAGAACGCGATTCATTCATAAAAGGCGCGCGTCAATGACGTCATTTAAAGCACGCGACTTGTCTTACATGGGGGGTGAAAGACAGACTTTTCTAGCACCGGTGTAAACGGTAGATAATCCTGTCTGATATGCAAGAAATTCCGATCTTACACTGAACTAAACAAATATCCTCTATATAATGAAGTTCAATTATTTCCATTGATACAATTGATTTTTAGACTAGGTGCATAAATTTAAATATCATAAAATTATAATTTTATCTTGAAATGAAGGCAGACATATTAAATTAACAATATGAGTCTATCTTCTCCCACCCCAATCATTAAGTCTTCCCCATTCATGTAAACAACTGCTCAGTCCACAAAACTATCCAAAAATGCCAAATGTCAATATAACAGAGGACGGAATAAAGAAACTCCTTAAAAGGTCTAAATCCAAGCACAGCCTCTGGCCCGCAAGGCAAGGTCATTTATATGTTCTCACTCAACAACCTGCTCTTGATTGTCAAAACTCCAACACTTTACATGTTCTCTCTGGTGTCCCTCAAGACTCGGTCTTTAGACAATCAACCAAAGATGCCAAAAGCCTAACAGCATTGAAAACGAGGAATCTGATTGGGCCATGGAGTTTAATCCAGATAAATGCGAAGGTCCTGAAAATCAGCCGCAAGAAACACCCATTATTTCCTTATAAAGTACATATGGTCAGCAACTAAAATCCACTGAGGCTGCAAAATATTTAGGTGTAAAAATAAGTAAAGATCTATCTTTGACCGATCATATAAATAATATAACAACAAAAGCAAATGACTCACTCCGATTTATAAATAGAAATGTCAAAACGTACAACAAATAGGTCAAAGAAACTGCCTATAAAACATATAGAATACTTTTCCACGGTTTGGGATTATGGCAAAAATATCTGGTTTACAAATAAGAACAAGTTCAAAGTTATGCAGGCAGATATCTACATATTGACTACAATTACAACAGTAGTGTATTTAACATGTTAAAAAGTCTTAATTGAAATACTCTAGAGTAAAGACGCAGCATGAGCTCTACAAATCCAACACAATCGTGTAAGGGTCGACCATCACTATTCGACATCCACTAGAAACCTGAACAATCTGAAACCATACTCAACGACACAGCATCACTCCTATTCATATTGCCCAAGAATAGAAATATTCATCTGTCGAATGGCCTACCGTATCCCACTTTAGATCTCTTTACTGGACAGCTGCATCCTTTCTACAAGTTTTATGTCTGTTTTGTTTCCATCTTTTTACTTCAGTCTTGTAGTTTTTTTTTTAAATTGGCCTTTATCTTCTACTTATAAATTTGCACTAAATACATTTGTTTTAACAGCTATTCCCAAATAACACGGGGGAGAATCACGCCGTTCGTTACCCAAACAAACAAGATGGCGGATGCAGCCATAAAGTAGGTTTTTTTTCCTTTTTTCTCTGAAATTAGTGATGTTCTAATGTAAAAGTACATATAACAACCTTCTCCACAATTTTCCTGTCACACAGGATTTTATTTCATGATGTTTCGACGCGTACTTCATCTGAAATGCGCGTCACAAGATTCGAAGCGAGAGAATTTTCCACCGGTTTGATCGTGGTAACGTACGGCTTTTTCTCTAAAATTCACTGTTTCGTTTACATATTTGTCAATTTACTGAAACCACTGACCCTAAAAAGTTGTAATATGTCGTCATCTAAGCATTCATGCCCATTCTGGCTAGAATAACCGCTGAAAATGTTAATATCGGGGCATTTTCTGGAAATGATAACGTATGGCGCCCAAAATATCAATGATAACGTACGGCGCATTTTTTTCTGATTAATTGATGTTCTATGTATATGTTAGTATTCATCCGTGCAACGGATGAATGCTAACATATTTAGTGTTAAACTTTATTTGACCTCATAATCACTCACTTTATAACGTCACTATGCTGTTCTATGAAGAACTATGTAAAATAGAAGTCGACTATGAACTAAATTCGATATAGTATCGACTTCTGTTCTTCTATGAAAATTAGCGCACAAGATTTTTAAAAAAATACAGCGTTTCTATTGATGACAAATAAAGTTGGACACTAAGTCATCATCGGCTTTAAAGCCTATTGGAATAAAATAAAATGTCTACTGTCCACTATAATAAATCAAAGCACAGAAGGCGCTGAATTTGTTTGGGTCTCAGAATGTCAGAAAGGTGAGGGTTGTAAGATTATAAACCAATTTGTTTTTGTAAAGTGTCACCAATGCTTTCCAGTGATTTATCTGTATTAATTGGCTATAAGACTTATTGCAACACTGATAGTCAATTCAATATTTATTTGACTTAAAAGATGAAAAGAAAATGAGTTGCCTCAACTGGGATTTGAACTCCAGACCTCTCGATTCACTAGCGAGCGTGCAAACCACTCGGCCACGGTGAAGTTTTATGTCATCGGCCTGAAGAAAACCATATTATTCTAAATTAGGGTTTGTAACTCTTATTATTTCGACGCTAAACCTGTTGTTTAACACAGATGTAAATAATCATGGAGCTTACTGTAAGCATGTATATCTATAAAGAATGAAACAATATTAAAAATCTTCGACCATTCGGGAACTACTTTGCTTGAAAATTAATGCGCCTGTCATTTGATAATCTTTACGCATTGATCTCCCCTGAAATTTTCGGCGTTAGTGTACATATAAAGGGAAGTAACCGCTTCAAAAAAGTGGACTACTTTAGGCATTAGCAATTAACAGCATTAGACTCTGAAATTTCGCTACCATTTTTTGTTTGGTCTGACGAACCAACCAAATAAAAACTGTAAGGCTATGTCACGTAAATATATCTGACGTCATAGTGGCACAACGTCACGCTAAATGGTAGCGTTTCAATATTAACCGCCCGTCAAATAAACAGAAAATTTCTTATTTAGTAATAGTTATAGTACATGAAACGAGTTAGTTACGAGGATATAACACTGGCTAGGGCGACATCAAGGGATGTTTCTGCTAAAAAAATTGCTGGAACATCCCGAGATGTCGCTCAGCCAGTGTTATATCCTCGTAACTAACGAGTTTCATGTACTATAACTCTTTTATCGGAATGGCATAATGTTTTCTTTTTTGTATTAGAAATAAAAAATAAAATAAATAAATAAATCGTTGGCTACATTATACTTATTTATGATAAGGCAGTTTTTTTCAAGTTGTTTTCGCTGCCGCAAAAAAAAATATACAAAAGACATCCAATGTTAGAGGTGGATTGTAAAATGTTATCAATATTGATTCAAGATTAAGGGGCTTTTTTCAGTGAAAATAATTCATTTAGCGGATATACCTTTTGATTAAATGAGAGTAAATTTCATTTCATTAATATCTTTGTTTATTTCATCATTGTATATATTTATTTTATTTTATTGATTCCACTTATTTGCTACTGAGAATGTTCGTTACCACTGCCCCATTGGAGCCTCTGTGAAAAAAACTACATTGATATATACAATGTGCGAAAAAAACTCAAACACTATATAACAGTCGAGTTTTTTTCCTATACAGGTATGAATCAATGAAAAATCTGTACTGCTATATATCAATTCAGTTTTCAAAAGCTCATTGAAGTGCACTGAGTATTTATAAAGGGTTAGTAAGAGCAAAGGAAAAGTTCCAAACCATGCGATAACTAATTTCATTGAAGTTTTTCGGATAACATTATTTTCTAACTCATTCAATAAATTCAATATAGAACCTACACTCCTTCATTATTGTCTGTTATGTATTTTTCTTTCAATGAGCGACCAGATTGAATAAACACATGCAGGCTCATCTCAAGCTAGTCGCAACCACTTTGTTTATGTTTGACGGGTTTCCTTATCAGAAATTTGTAAGGAATGATTAAGACTTTTTCTTTGGAAAAGAAAATACATGTATCTCAAGCCGTCCGTACCTTTTTAACGTTTTTGCTCTGCTGAATGTGTTTCTTCTTTCTGATAAGGGGATAAGCACAACACTGGTGAAATTTAATGTGAAGACAACACTACAGAAATGTTTCCTGAAAGTGGAGGCTTTCCTTCCGTTCTGCATTTTATACAAAATATTCTCAAACTATACACGTGTGTTTTAATTGGTAT